GAAAGATATATATTTATTATTTTTTGGATGTATTTTCAGCATTTTTATTATTATCTTTTGTGATTTTAAGTATGTTTAATTTGGATATTACAAAAACTTTAAAGAAATTCATCTCGTGTTTCTAAAAATTCTTATAAATGCGATATTCAACGGCCGGGCCTCAAATGTTGGGTCCGGGACCGTCCTGACCATACCTAAGGGCCGGTTCAAATGAACTGGCGTGACTCGACGATTCATTTAATGCCAATTATAAAAGAAAAATAAAAGGAAAAAACAATTATAACCCGTCGAAAGATCCAGACCCGACCCAACCTGATAGGTCAAAAAGGCAAAAAAATCGACCCTGACCGGTCCTTAAAAGGCAAAGGGTCATGTTAAAAAACTGTTACATCCGGACCGATTCTGAGCCGAGTCGACCCGTGGACACCTCTACGACTATATCAATTTTACCACCACATTAAAATAAAATAAGCTTTTAGAAGAATCCATGTAAGAAAGTTGATAATCTTAAAAAATAATAATAATAATAATCTGAATTTCAAAAATTAAATGAAAACTCACCTCAAAGGAAATTCCAAGTAGTTGTTTCCAATTTTCCATATTTATTATTCATAAATAACAATAAATAAATAGTTTGTTATACAATATCCACTCTTTACTTGCATCATAAGCCAGTAAAAATACAATTCAGTAAATTGCACTTTTTTATTTTATTTTTTTTGTTACATAAAATATTGAGTGGATGATCCATCGTTATCGCCACCCAAATGAATCACAGCCGATAAATATACAATTAAATAAAATATTTTTATTTTATATTATTTATTTAATATATATATTATTTATTTAATATATATCTTATTTGTTTATTTGATATATCCGTAGGCTCCTATATAATCTCTCTCTCTCTTTCACTGCACTCTCATACTTCTTCCCCCAAAATAAACAGATAAAAATCGTTTCAATTAATTTCTCGTTTTCCTTTCAATCTGTTGTACGTTTCTAAATCGGAGATGGCGGTGAGCAATGGCGGATCCGGTAAGGGTCTGATCGTCAGTTTCGGCGAGATGCTGATCGACTTCGTGCCGACGGTCTCCGGCGTGTCCCTGGCGGAGGCGCCGGGGTTCCTCAAGGCGCCCGGCGGAGCTCCGGCCAATGTCGCCATAGCCGTGGCCAGGCTTGGCGGGAGGTCCGCTTTCGTCGGCAAGCTTGGGGACGACGATTTCGGTCACATGCTCGCCGGGATCCTGAAGGACAACGGCGTCTGCGCCGACGGCGTCAACTTCGACAAGGGCGCGCGGACGGCTCTGGCGTTCGTGACACTGCGCGCCGACGGCGAGCGCGAGTTCATGTTCTACAGGAACCCCAGCGCCGACATGCTTCTCACCCCAGATGAGTTGAATCTGGGAGTGATTAGATCTGTAAGTTCTGTATCCCGAATCCCGATCGTCATCATGATATAGATACATGAATGCTTACACGCAGATGTGAGTGCGTTTGTATGTACGGAAACACGTGATTTGTGCGCGACGTGCTCTGTGTTTTTGGATGAATTCGATTCCAATCTGTTCAGATTTTCGGATTTTGTTTCCTTTAGGTGCTTTCGGTTAGCTTACTGCAAATGTTTTAGAATAACAATGGGGGTTGAGTCACTTGAGTGAATCTGAGGCGCTCTAATCTTTATTATGCCTGGTTTTGACTAATGTGTATAAATTTCGGGTCGATACTCGATATTTTTCTAATTTCAAATTTTGGTTAATTTCTGGTGAGATTGTGCTAATATAATAACGATTTAGCTCCTTAATTTAGGCCCTTAATTTCAAGATTTTAACTTTCTTGTTTAGTGATTTTATTTTAACGTTTTTTTGTTCAATTTCGATTCGTTTATTTTGTTTGAAATGAAAATCCGTTCTTGAATAGTTCATTGACATAAATTGGTTTGTTAGTTAATTATTATTAGATCTTTATCATGAACAAGAACTAATACATTTACCACCGTTGATATTTCCTTTGTTTTCATTATCTGATATGATTTTGTCGATCACTTAATTTATTTATGTACAAAGATCGCTGCCTGTTTGTTTGATATTAATTTCGCTTGTCTGATTAATAATTTTTGTATGTCAATCTGTATGTTTTGATTTAATACTCATAAAAATCTTTGCTTTCTTTTTCTGCAATATCTCTTTGAAATAGATAAGCTCCATATTTATTTATTTAATTTATCTGCACCTAGACTTGTCGTGTGTTCATTTATTGCTATAGATGTTCAAGAGATGGGCTCCATCCTTCATTTTGGAAGCTATAAAGTGGCGTTAGAATCTGACAAAAGTTGTTACAATTGTGGGGTTGAGCCATACTCGAATATTTATTAGCCTGCTTTAAGTTATCAGCCAAATGCTGTTGGGAATCAATTTTTTGTGATTAGACTCTAATTGTGATACTTATGACCTCCATCACAATAAGTTCACTATATTTTGGCTTAGCTCAAAATATTCATGTTAATATTGATAATAATCTCCTTTCAGAACTCTGCATAACTCGAAACTGCTCATAATATCGCATATGGTAATAGACCGATAATTAGAGTGATTATTTTGCACCAAGTTGTATCTGATTTGATGGGTTGTATTTGTATGAATGATTAGGCAAAGCTGTTTCACTATGGATCAATAAGCTTGATAGTGGAGCCGTGCAGATCGGCACATTTGAAGGCAATGGACGAGGCCAAGGCGGCTGGTGCCCTGCTATCGTACGATCCCAACCTTCGTCTGCCATTGTGGCCATCGGCTGAGTACGCAAAGGAGCAGATTATGAGCATTTGGAGCAAAGCTGATATCATAAAGATTAGCGATGTAGAGCTCGAGTTCTTAACCGGGAGCAACAAGATTGACGACGAGTCGGCCCTCTCCCTGTGGCACTCCAACTTACAGCTCCTCCTAGTCACTCTTGGTGACAAAGGCTGTAAATATTACACCAAGGTAATCTTTTTTATATTTTTTTAATAATGTATCAGAATTTGCTGATGAATAATGTGTACTAATTTGAAAAGGTAAATTGTTTTCATTTTATTATTCAAAGTTGGTTTAGGCCTAATGGTATTAGTGGGTCTGTGGTGTCACAATATAAACAATCCTGCGGATTAGAGTTGAATTCAATCTCTTACTCAAAGTTGCAGTATTTAAATGTGGGATGTAATTAGATTTGGGGAGACCCTTTAGTTATTAGTTGTAATTAGATTTGGAGAGACCCTTTAGTTATTAGTTTTATATTATTATTATAGGTGAAAATCATGCTTTAGATTTCAGCAAAGTGAGATGAAATTTTATACTTAGAATGGGTTTGGGCCCCACTCAGCACCCAGTTTCTGAAGGGGGGGTTGGTGACTTTAAGACATAGTTATATTGACTCATGAAGCTTTGTCATTTTCAAAAGGAGATAT